TTTTGCCAGGGATTTAGCTCAGCAGTTCAGTGGCCTGCCTTGCAAGCAAGCGCAAGGACCCAATTTCAATCCCCAGTTCAAAAAAAAAAAAAAAAAATTTGGCTATTTGAGTTTCCTTGCAATCCAATATGAATTTTATCAGTCTTTTTCATTTCTGCAAAAATAAAAGCCACTGGAATTTTTGATAGGCATTATAATGAACCAATAAATCACTTTCAGTAGTATGTCATGTTAATAATCGTAAATTTTTCAATACATGAACATGAGCCTTCTTTCCATTTATTTATGTATGCAATTTCTTTTTGTAATATTTTGTAGTTTTCAGTGTACACGTCTTGTACTTCCTTGGATAAATTTTTGCTCTCCTCTTTTGCTCTCATTCTCCATCTGTCTTTTTCCCAATTCCTTTTTTCCAAATGAATTTTTGGTCTTAGAAGCTGAACATCATTCCTATTTAAATGCAGAGTTCATTATAAAAACCTTAGATAGAAAGACTTAAAATCATCAAGACCCCATCTCTTTACTCTTCCTGCAATCTTGCTCACAGGAAGTCCTTGAGCTTTACTTCTTCCTTGAGCACATGTTTGAATCAAGACTGTCAGAGCTGCTTCCAGAACTGAAACTGACATTTCTTCCAGGTGGTACAAACTCAGCAGGCCTTAGGGCAGCAGGACTTGGGCTGACACTTTGCTCAGGAAGCCTTTCAGGTACCATGCAGTGGGTGTGCTGAGTGATAGGTTTCCGCTGGCACCTGGGAAAAGCTGCAGACATTTCTACTGCTGTCTGACAAGTATTGTATGGTGTTTCTAGGTTGTACTTTCTTTTATTTTTCCTTTCCTTTCCTCTTTCTTTGCTTTCTCAAAGCTTTTTGAGTCTCCCTTTTTCATTTGAACCTGCTCCTAGAGTCAGGCTTTTGAGAGCTCCCAGCTTTCAGGTAAAGTCATATCTTGTAAAAGACATCTGCACCTCTATCTACCCAAAAACCCTCCTTAGTTTTTATATTTTACAACAGGAATATGTACTGGGAGGAGATTAAGGGATCTCTTAGGCATTAAAAGTTCTTATGAGTTTAGTGAACACCACTCAGGATCTCTAGCTGGTTTCAAATTTCATTGCTTCTGAATATCCATCTTCTTAAAATATTTCCTGAAAATGAACCATGAATTTTGGAATGTCCCAGAGAGGCCCAGGCAATTTTCAAAGTTTCATTATGCACCTCATAATATATCCTTATACTATATAATGCAAGGAACAAAATATTTAGGTTAGGATGAAATTCTGATTTCTTCGAAACAATAACACCTACTTTTTTTTTTACATCATCAAAAGTATGCCCTCACTATTTTTACATAAGTTCTGAAAAAGACCTCAGTTTAAGAAATCAGTATGTAGTCAAACAATAGTTATTTTTCAAAATGGTAAATAAAACAGATTCATATAAAAATTAGATCTAGGGGCCAGGAATTTAGCTCAGCAGTTCCACCACCTGCCTTGCAAGTGCAAGGTCCCGAGTTTGATCCCCAGTACCCCTCCAAAAAAAAGATCTAGAAGTATCACTACAGAACTAATTAAAGAAAGAATAAAAAGTCATCTATAAAAAGATGAACAAGAACTAATATGGAAAATTCCTATTCCACTCATTCAAATATAATTGTAAAGTGAATTAAAAATGTAGGAAACTACATGTCAATGTATGAAATAGACAATAAGTGAAGAATAAACAATCATAAAGAAATTTAGGTGTTCACCTACCAAATAATGTGTAAACATTACACAATGTCAAATGCTAATAAAATGTATACAAATTACACAACTGCAAAATTAAACTCTTTTCATGTACTATTGTAACCATTGAAGTGTTACGTGTATCCTACATATGTAGCTATAAATTGAACACAAATTTGATGTCTATGTCATATAAGCAGTTGTTCTTAGAAAATTAGATGGAAGATAACTTTGTCTAGCAATTTTTTCTAACATATGTCCAAAAGATTACTGCAAAAAATTTGAAGTCATTAATGTGAAGTTCAAATCAGATTCCTGAAGCCGGTTCACTCTACACCATGACAAAAAACTCAACCATAATCAATTGTTGTGGCCCCTTGAGATGTGGGTGGACAAGAACCTAGTGACTGGAGAAACCCTGCCATTTATGGTACCTAGGAAGATCTGGGCTTTCTGCACAGTGAAAGATGAGAAATGCCCGTTCCTCTTTGTTCTTCTCAAATTGCTACATACGACACAAATTCATATAGGATGAATATGTACAAAGTGCCACCTTGTGGCACATGCTACTCTGGGCACAAATGGACTGTTCCCGAGCACTCACTACCACTCTGTGGTTCATTGCCACAGCATGGCAGCGGTTTCAGCCTGGCAACTCATTGTAAAATGCAAATTCAAGGAGAATGCACTCAAGAAAAAGAGCAGATCAGGCTGGGTGTGGTGGCTCACGCCTGTAATCCCAGCACTCGTGAGCCTGAGGCAGGAGGATCTCTGTGAGTTTGAGACCAGCCTGGGCTACAAAGTGAGTTCCAGGTCAGTCTCAACTACATAGTGAGACCCTGTCTCAGAAAACAAACAAACAAACAAAAAACAAAACAAAACAAACAACAAAGAGAGCAGCTCAGTCTCTATATTCTGCTCACATCTCATATTTTCAAACTTGACTCCAGAGGGAAAAGATAAAGTTGCTTTGACAAAAGGGAATAGCAAATAGAACAGGTCTAGTGTCTACCTTACGGGTAGTGATTGGACTTGAGATATAATGCAAAGAGGAAAAACATTTTGCTAAAGTATCTCACAATAGTAAACCTATAAGGCCTTAATGCTAAGATTTTTAATTAAGAAAGCACACTTTAAAATTCAGTAGTCTTAAAGGATTTTAAAATCACTGATTACCTCTGCATTCCAGAGAAGGAGATTAATCTTCAGAGTTAGTAGAGAAATAGAGAGTTACTGAAAAGTAGAAATGCATATCAACTAAAGTTCAAAGTAAAGAGAAAACAAGGATATGGAAATGGGACTTCCTCTGTAAAGACTTTTAAGATTTTTATGGATTTTGTTCAATATTAAACTACATTCCAAACAGTTCTGTTTGTTAAGAAATTGTAGTTGAGCAAACTATTTTTTAGATATTGGCATTTAAGTAATTATACTTTTCCAAAGTGTTAGAACAATGTATCAGCATTATTTTTAGCAGTTCCATAACTAAAGACTGTAAAACTGAAAGGAACAGTGGAACTTCATGGAGACCATCAAAATGAAGAGTGGCTGAAACACAAACTCTTACAATTCAGAGATTAGACTGCTAAATCTACTATTGGTCATAAGGTGGGGCATTCTTGATTTTTCAGATTAGCAAAATTTAAAGGCTGATCACTTATGTTAGTTTTCATTAGATGTTCAGGGATGGTAAGATGATTGAGATGCTCAGTATCATTTCATTTTTTTAAAAGAAAAAATGACTCCTTCAAGGTACCACACTGGATCAGACTGGAGGAAGTGTCAAGCTGCTCCTTTCTAGGTTTGCTTTTATTCCGTGAAAGGTTGCAAATTAAACCTGTAGGAGTGTCTGGCACATAAGCTATTTCGTCGCTATTATTGCTACTGTTGTTCATATATTTCTGAGTTTTGTAAGGTTAAAATATGATCTTTGATATTAGAAATGATGCTTTTCTCATTTTTACATCTTCTTTTCCTTTTAATATTGGACTCTATTGGATTTGTAATTAGAAGAAAGTTAGGATTCAAAGAATTTCTTAGCGAGAGCAAGCACAAAGGGAAAGGACCTTTATAGTGGACTAGGCCCCTTTACTGTGGCCCCATTCACAAGACATTTCTATAGAGGAGATGGCCTGCTCGGGTGGCCACTGATAGGGGAACCAGCCATCAGCAACACTGGACAGCTCTTTCCTCTCACCACAGCAATCCACCACTGGGGTTCACTACGTCCCTCCCCAAGCCCCCTCCCCCCACCGCCATACCTCCTTCGGGTCAGGTTGGTAGGCCTGCGCATTTTGTGCGTAGTTGGTGGCATCGTCTCTCAGTCATGACCTTGGAGTTCTGCATGGGAAAAACTGACGCTAAGGCAGCGGAAGTGCCCATTGAACAGTCACTTGCCCTGCGAATTGCAGATCACGTCTTATTTCCTCAACATGAGCAGAGAGGAAGGGGATCTTATCTGTTCTCTCTTTATAGAGAAAGGCATTCTACATCAGATGAATGCTGTCCTATTTCTCACTTTGGTACATTTATGAATGATGTTCAGGGGTAGATTTCTGGAAGCAAAAGATGAAAAGATGGCTCAGGAACCCACCCACCCAGTCGTATCTTGCAGGAGCGCTGCAACCAAGCAATGAAGTCAGCCAAGACTGATTCTTCCGGGTTTCTCCGCATAATTTATTTATGGCTCTAAAACCCAGCAGAGTCCGTAATGTCCTTTTTATCCCTCTCTAAATCTTTGTACTCTCAGACTGAATCTCTCTTGGGACTTCTTTCAAACCTGTTCCTTAGTTTTCTCTGGACTGTGTCCAATGTCTACATATTCCGTTGAAGTTGAGCAACTTGAAACTCTGCTTTTTCTCTAATGGACAGTCTTGAGCAGAGTAGAAGATAATTTGTGTCCCTCAACAATATAACAGTAATTCTGAGCAGAGGAAACATATTGTAGAAGGAAAATAGAGGATTCCGTCTTCAAGAGACTGAGATCAGAATTCTCCAGCATTCGTCTGCTGGAGGTGGATTTATTCTGTTTTGTCTCAGTTCTTCACAGATTAAATTAATAAGAAGAAATGTTATAAGGTCATTATGAAGCGTAAATGAAATGGTATGTGTAAACTCCTTGGGTTATGTTGTATATTTTTCATGTAAAGAGTCCTCAATTAAATACAAACCAATGGCTTCATCAGGCAATATGTGGAAGAAATACATTGTTCCAAAGCTGGAGAAAAAGGTCGCTATAGAAGACCTTGAAAAGAGAACTGTCTTATATTCTAGGGGGTTTAAAGGGTAAGTTTAACTCTTTAATTTATTCCTTAGTGCTGAGTTCAGAGATTAGCTCCATATCAGAACCAGCTTCCCTTGGTAAGACTGTTCCTTACAGTGTTACAGTTCTCAGTAGTTTACAAAACAGTTACTTACAACCCATTTGAAATAGTTTAGCGATTTTAGAACCATTGCCCCAAGATAAATGTAATACTTATAGTCCTCAAAAAAGAGAATTTGATTTAGAAATACTTCCTCCCATCCCCGGAAATCCCTATGAAACAGAAAATACAAAAATAAAACAAAATTTATACGTGAGCTGTGTTTAAAGGAGATCAACTTAAGAGAAAGGGCAAATCACCAGATTTTTAGGACAGAATAAAGTGTTGCAAATAAGGCAATGTTCCTTAGATCTAGCAATAAACACATGAACTTGGGATATTTCTCATATGCTCATCATAGCTAACAACTGCTTGTAATAGTCAGGCACTCTCCTAAGCAGGCTGCACATAGTAAGGCATTTAATCCTTCTACTTACTTATAAGCATTTATTGTCTCCATTTTCATTTCCTACATAAGGAAGCTCCAGTGTGAAGAGATTAATTTTCTCCTGTTTTTTTTTTTTTTTTTTTTTTTT